GTCAGTATTCACGTGAACGCAGCGTTTGATTGCATTGTATTAACGAGTGTTTCATTGGTGTCTCTCTGCGCCCACAGCCCGAGCGTATCGATCCGCCCGACTCTGCCAACCCTTCCTATGATATCAGAGCTGATGTGAGTCTTTAGCACTGATTTGAGTGAACAGTATTTGTTTGACTGACTGTTTGTGTGTTGTATGGGCACAGGTATGGAGTTTAGGCATAACTCTGGTGGAGTTGGCGACCGGGAAGTTCCCGTATCACGAGTGCAACACTGACTTCGAAGTGCTCACAAAAGTCATTCAGGAGGACCCGCCCTCTCTGCCCCCCGAAAGTGGCTTTTCTCACAACTTCTCCAGTTTCGTGAAGTCCTGGTATTGCAAGCAATCAATCGTTTTGTCATTTTCTGTAGTAATTCATTGAAATTTGTTTGTCTTTTGCGTCCAAAAGCCTTACGAAAGACTATAAAAAGCGACCGAAATATAGGAAATTATTGGTAAGTATTGATTGAATGCGTGAATTGCGGAGTCATTTGACTGATTGTACGGTCCGTATACGACAGGAACACCAATTCATTAGGGAGTACGAGAGGAAAGACGTGGACGTCAGCAACTGGTTTCGGGATTTGATGCGAATCGAGAGACTCATTGAATCGGAATTAAGTGCCAATCCTATCAAATAAGTGATGAGACTCTTAGGGACTCCGAAAACCTGTGTTTCAATAATCATTAGTATTGGCCATCAATTCATGTCTTTATTTTCGATTATTATATGATTTTCTCAATTCATATGATTTTTTTTATAAATGAGAAAACGATTAGAAATTAATGTTTCGCTCAATACTTGTTTCGATAGACTTGTGTCGGATCGCAAACATGCGATCAGATTTGAGTTGAGGTTTATTTTGGCGACAATTAGTGAAATCACGAGAATTTTTTAGAGATATTTATTTCGTTTATTCACAAAACAAACTGAAAAAAATATTTATCCAATAATTGGTGTTATTTTTTGATCAAATAGTTTATGAGAAATAACTACTTTTTACTTAAAACCCAATCAACGGTTATTATGTTGTGATTTGAGACCAAAATTTCAATTCTTATGTGATTTGTTGTCTATTTTTGAGCCGTTTTTTATTCATTCATTTAATTACTTTTATTTTTCGTTTAAATCAAACAAATTATGTTTTGCTTTCACTTTACGTTTGCTTTGAATTTTCGAAATCAAAATATATTTATTTTTTACGAGATTTGTGTTTAACTTTTAAATCAAAATTTTATTTCTCTATTAATTAGCCATTATTTTCGTACGACATTTGATTTAAGCACTTATTGTCGAGACTTATTTGAATTGACAAACAAATTATTATTTTTATTACTCATGGCTTTCCCTATGATTTAAACGCATGTTTTCATTACAAATTGTAATTTACAATACAGAACTTATTTTATAGTGTGTTTTTTAAAAACAAATGTACACTGGTACTCTGTACACCTTTTTAATCACTCGTATGAAA